ATACTATACATTATTCATGACTCTGGAGAAACAGAGTGGGTAGGTTGCACAATTTCAGAAGCATAAACAGTAATATGAATTTGAAAGAAGTGAATTGAAACTATCATTCTAAAAGAACCACTGAAAACTTTAATTTAAAAACGTTTCCAAAAATTTTCCAAAAAACATTCAGCAATGACTTCACCAGTGAATCTCAGAAAACATTCTGTGACAGCAACAGAGATAAAAAGTCTCAAATGCAATGATCAAGGGAGGCTGAAGTACTATTTTCCCAAAGCTCTGGTGCCAAGCGCTGTTAGCTGTTTGAACAAAAACGTTATATACATCTTAAGAAATGGCAAAAACAAAAATAGCAGTCTGGAAACATTTGCACTTCCAGGGCTGACAGAGAATACTGAACACATGCAAGATGCTGAAAAAGACAATAGCAGAAATATTTCACTAGAAACACAAGTTCCCCTTTTCTTTGTGTATCACTTTCCTTAAGTTGACAATAACAATGACAATAATGAAGTTTTGAACAGCATCACTTTAACTTATAAAGTCTATTATCTTCAAGTAAACAATTTCATATGTAGTAGACTGAGACTAAGTACTTCAGATAACTTCAATATAAATTGATCTACACTGAAAATACCATGCTGCTTAATTTCAGAATTTTATCAATCTTCATTACTAAAAAAAAATTAATCATTTTGTACTCATGGGTTAATATTAACTTTAGATGCAGAAATTATGAGAATGGGAATTTTTCTTAAGCATCTTATGAAACGGTAAAACTAACCTTGAATGAAATAGTAAGATATTATTTTCATAATTAAAATGAGACTAAGATATTTAAGTAGAACTAAGCAGATAAGTTACTAATTCAAGTTTCAGAATAAAGGACTCCAGTTTTTTAGAAATTTAATCTTATGTGATTTCTACACTAAGCAGGACCAACTGAAAAAACTGTTAGGTGCCAAGTACTATAAACTTCACCCAAACTTCCTTTCCCACAAAGATGCAGAACATTGTTATAAACATACATCAATGAAGTGGGTCAGCACAAACTAAAATGTCACTTTCTTTAAGAGGAGAACCCAGATGAAATGATAGCACACAGGAGTGTGGGACAGGTCTCACAATTTGTAATTGCCCTTGCTGACCACTCCATGCATACACACATACAATCTATGCAAATCTACATGCGTGTGTAGCTACATACAAGGTGAAAAAATGGCCACAATAGTTTTGACTCAGAAAATAATGGTTAACTCACAGAAAATGTTCAGATCAAGTCTTCAAAGAACTATGATCCCTACCAGGGTATTAGTACTCTTAAGACCCTCAGAAAGCCAGTTCACCTGACCTGTGTTTGCGTGAAGTGGGAAGGGACATACTTCCTGGTGGCGATGAATGAAAGGGCAAAAGGAATCAGACACAAATTAAAACAGTGCACATTTTAGCATAAGCAGCAGCATTTTTTTGTGTGTGTATTTTTTGTTTGTTTGTTTGTTTTCTCTACTGTGAGGAAGGTCAAACAACAAGAGAGGCTCCATCCATGGAGGTACTGAAAACCCAGCCAGCCCCTGCCTGGAGTGAGTTACTCCAGCTGACCTTGCTCTGAGCAAGGGGCTGGGGATTAAGCTCTAGAGGTCTCTTCCAATCACAGCTGCTCTGTGATTCAGGTTTTTATAAAAGCAAAAACAGTTTAGACAAGCCTTTCAGAACTGAAGAAAATTAAAGTCCTACAGTTTACTTATTGTTCTTTAATGTGAAAAACTCAGATTACCACTGGAGTTTTAAAAGCCCGCTGGTTTTCTTATCTCTTTTTCACAGCCAGTGTTATTAAAAGAACTGTCAGTAGGTACCAGCAGACGAAAGGCTGTTTTTATGTAAATTTAAATAATTTTACTATGACTGGTTACAAAATAACACTTTTTTTTCTATTTCATCTGCTTTGCATCTTAAGATATCAAACTGCTGCTTTTTATATACAAGTAATGGCATAAACTCTCCAAAATGCAAAAAAAAAAAAAAGTCAATTAAATACTAGACTGATGAGCACTGCTCTGACTGCTAAAACTGGCAATACTGATTTTACTCATGCAAAACCTAAAATCTCAACGGATGCAACTTCTCTTTCAAATGAACATTAAGCATCTTTTCCTTAAATGCATTTCTTAACATCCCTTTACAGGCTCACATGCTTGGCAGTTACAATTACTAAGTTTTCATCAAGCCAGAAAAATCAAGAAATTGCTCTCTTTATCTGTCATTTATTATTAAATAGTCTTCAAAACTTATTAAGCAGGGTTATCCTCACCAAAATTTCTCATGCTGTTACTGAATGCAATTTGTTTTTCTTTTTTAGTATCTTCAAAACTCATTTATTCCATTTTGGTGTGGATTCTCAAGTTACACTTTACACCACCCACAAACACCTTCATCCTTGGTTCTCCAAATTTCAGCATCATTGAACAGTAATGCAAAAATTTTCCCCCTTAGGAAGTCATGTCCAGAACAGACCGGAAACAAGAAGTCCACTGAAATTCTGAAATGGACTGTCAAGGTCATAAAGACAGAATTTAAACTTTATTTTAATTGCCTTTTACCAAGCACAGACAACAAGCCAGTGCTCCCTGGTGGTTATACTAATCAGCATGCACTGCGTTAGATGGAAAAATGCACACGATTCTCATCCATTCCCTTTTATATTCTATTTGCCTTAATTGCTAAGCAGAGACAGGATGTGAAATAAGTGGTCCATATCATAAGATCCAAAGAGACATCCATTTTGAGGCTTGGAAAGGCATAATACCAACACAGTATCAAAACAGAAGATTTACTCCTCTCCCTTTGTTTCCCTAGGTAACAACATCAGGATCAGGTGTAATTTGTTGCTGAATTTCAGTAATAAGCATGCTTCAGAAAAGTCTTCAAAATTATGAGATTTTTAAATCCAAAAATAAAAACTTAACTGCAGTTTAGACTGAAGTGTGCACTTTTATTCATACAGTATTTTCTTACCAAATTATAATCAAGTTTCTGCTATGCAATTTTGGTACTGCTATTGCTAGCTTTTATTGCTGCATGAAATTGCAAACTGCTAAAGCCTGCCAAAACAACTTCATAACACCTATTTCATTTGTAATTGCCTTTTGTAAGAATTAGATCTGAAATTATTGTTTAGGTATTATAATCAAATAAATGGCAACAAATTTTTATCAATTAGGTTACATATATATGGATTTTTGCAATTAACTGAGAAAATTCTATAAAATGATGTTCTAATATATCCTAGGTTAGCTATTAATCCACTGGTATCATAGAATTATATTTGCATTTACTTCTATCAACTTCAGCTAAAACTGAACAACATATCAAGCATCAATACCCACTTACCCACTATCATTAAAATTCCCTTTGAAAAATACAAACACCTCATCAAACATATTTCATCATATGTAGGATGCTGAAGCTTTTGTAAAATCCTGAAAATGCTCTCAGTTGCTACAGCTTTCATGACATATGTTCCATCAGTAAAAACCAACTCTACATACTAGCTTCCAGGAGGAGCACAGGGTTAGTTGTCTCTCTTCACTTTTAACTACAAATAGTTAAATTGAATAAATTATTTTCATTTTAGATTTCAATTAAAGAACTGAGGATCTCAAATCAGAAATGACTGAAGAACATTCTGACTTTTTGTCAAACACAGCACGCTTTCTTGACTTCGCTAGTCAATAAATAATGTGACAGCAAACGTGCTCCAACAACTACGTATTTTCTTGCAAGTCACTGGAGAATTGCACCTTTGAAATTTATTTTTGCCCCCACAGGGAAGCCTAATCACATACAATGGCAGTAATAATCATTCAATACATTAAAACTGGATGGGAGAAGGAAAAAAAAAAATAAAAAATGACAAACCAAGAAAACTTTACATGTCCTTAAGAAAAGAAAAACTAAAACTAAATCCATTTTTCAAGGATGAAAGCACATACTGTGCTAGGCAGAAGCATGATTTTTCATTAGTTCCAAAAGCTGACAAAGAATGTAAGAACAACACTTCAGACAAGTAACATTTCCTGTTCAACCACACTTACGTTTATTAGCTTAGATGCATACAAGCTCCTGTATGATATCAATGGGCAGAAGCTTTCTCACTTCATACAAACTTATCCATTTCCAAGTGATAATGCTGACCTTTCAGTGTACTATAGTTGCTGATACTTCGCTCTCTTCTCCAACAATTTATAATAATATATATCAAAAATGACATGCAGAAATAAGTGTACTGTGCTGTATAGCTCATGTGTAAGGTCTCTGTGATTGCTAATTAGAAAGGATGCTTTCCTGAATTATCATACTTCGCATGCAATTACTGCAGAGCAACAACATAAATTAACTTCACAGAAAAAGGCGTTCAATATCGTTGCTGGAGATAAATATATTTCCCTTCCCTGATAATCAGTAAAATTCTATATGAGAAACAATGCACATAGAATGGCTTTGTTTTTGTCTTTAAAAGAGAACAGTTATTTCTGTAATAGAATTCAAATGCTTGGCCACCCTTCCTCTACCTTCCTAACCTAACTTTTGTTTTCTTTTAATGAGAAAAGGGAAAGTCAGCAAAACAAAATGTCACCATTAAATCTTTTCCACAGCATTTTGTGTCAGAAATGTAATGGAAAATGCACACATCATGGGAAAGGTTACTGTTCTTCTAGAATATCTTTTCTGTTGGTTCAGGGCGTATCTCTCTACATAACTGTGCAGGCACTACTGATAGTTGTTCTCCCTAGGCTTAATTTGGCAGTTGAAGGATTGTGGCATTTTCAGGAAACCACTGTACAGTGATTTTAGTGGTTATCTGGCTGAAAGCGATGGTATGATTTAGAATAATTACTTTGTTTACGTGCAATGGTAAAAGTCAGTTATGACATCAAATTCCAGCTTCAGCTTATATTTTACTGTATATTTCCCTAATATGGCAACACATAAAGACCTCAAAGTCAGAATTACAGAAATTTATTGTTCATGTTCCTCAACAGCAAAATACATATGGAAGAGCAGCATCATTCTTAGTTTAATTGACAATTATGAGAAAAATAAAAATGAAAGAAGAAAAAGACAGTTTCACCCAGTTAATCAGAGAACTGAAAATTAATTAGTGCTTGACCTTTACATTATTACAGTAACTGATATGGAAAAAGGGAACGAAGGCTTTTTTTTTTTTCCCCCTTTTTTCCCCATTTCCTTTCTACAGTCTTTCTCTTAAAAGCCAAGTGGAGTTACCAGGAGTTCCTCAACATGAAGTCAAAGAAAGGTTTGAAAATTAAGCTGCTATCTTATTCAAGATAGCATGGCAAAGTTCTTGGAAGTTTTTCTTTTCTGAGCTTCATATGACAACAGCATCCAAAAAACATTTGTTCAAATAGGATAAAAAAAGACATTTCATGACAAAGATCAAGTACTAAAAAAAAAAAAAAAAAAAAAAAAAATCACTTCAAAAATAAACGCCTAGGAAAAAAAAAGAAGAAAAAGAAGAAGGAGGAGATTGTTATAAAGCAATGACGTGCTAAATGCAGAGATACTGAATTCTTGTCTTATTATGGAACCAGATCTGTGGCTTTTTGAATGGCAGATATAAGTTAATAGTTTTTATTGATATGAGAATGCAAAGTCATCACATTTAGGTTATGGTAATAACCGCACTTGCTCTGAAGAAGTCAGTTTTATTAATTGTAAAGCAAAACAAAATCTGATTCCAGTCTTGGATATATGTGATTTAAAAAAAAAAAAAAATCCAATTGCAAAATGCACATAAAAGGAAACAACCATAATTACATAATTACTCCAGATTATCCAGCCGGTAATTTCAATGGCTGCAAGGACAGGGAACCAAAGAAAGATCATCCACAACAGACAAAATTATGGCCAATAGTGAATCCAAAATATAGGAACAACAACTAAAACCTAGAACTATATTCTTTTTCAGAAAAAAATATTCCATTAAAAGATTAATATTAACTTGTGAAATTGTCAAACTTCCATTTAGAAAATTTTATGTGTAAGTCACTTCAGCTATATTTATGTTTTACTACAAAAAATGAATTTCTCCTCTAACATATTCTGCAAAACAGCCTTCTTTACACAGTACATCATGGTGCCAAAGAGGCATTGTAAGAGGAGTTTTTTTTTTTGTCTCCTTGCCTGTTGTTCTAAAAGTATATTCTCCAGTACCCAGCTGTGAAATATCTTAGCTTACAGAATTATTAAGCTAGAAAAGAATAATATTGCATATACAAGTAGATAATCCACAGCTATTCAGAGATCATTTCCTACCATATAGAAAATTTTCAATTTAGTCCCAAATTAACAAGAAATTGCACACACTTTTGCTCCATTAATTTATTAATGAAAATTTGTACTATATGCCATTTTACTCACATCAATAAAAACTGTGGTTGATGCTTACAAAAAAGACTCAAAGGAGTTAAGCTCCCAGTACTTTTATCTACTTTTCATGTACTTCTTCAGTAATGTAAAACGTATGTTCTCTCTGATTTCACATCAAATTTTGAATACTGCAGTTGATTTCTGCACTAATAAGTCAAGCCTCCTACTATTAAAACCCCACACAGATCAAACTACAGATCAAAGAGGAGCAGTAGTAGCACAAGTAAGAAACAGAATCAACTGCATACTAGGATGAATTATTATCATTTACCATACTCAGTTCATAATTAGCATTACTCTTCTGTGGACAGACAGTTACTTTAGAAGATTGACTCTACAGATGCTCAATTGTGTCAAGCCAAAATTAAGGCTGCAATATAGTGTTTAAAAGTGGCTTCCTGCCACTGTCTTCTACCGCGTTCTTTCAATATCTGAACACAAACATTCTCAGATTATAAAATTTCTTAAGTGTTTCAGTTTCATGGTTTCTGTAGCTATGGCTCAGTTTAACAATGCAGAACAAGTGAACTGATAAAGAATTTGACATTTGTTTTTTGAACACTGTTCTGTGAAATGCTCTGATGTGATAACCTTGCTGCACTGAAGATTACTGAAGCTGTTTGGGCAGAACGATGGAATATCTGACACATACAAATGCCAACTGAACTGGATTATTTGATACATCTGACGATTAAAGAAAAAAATCTTAATACCCACAAAAATAAATGCTTCTGACCCTATCAAGATGAGCATTTAAATCTTTTGCAACTATAATGTATTACTAGGAACCAGGTTGGGAAATATTTCGCTAGGTCATCAGCCTCTGCTGTTGCAGATAATGTAATTCCACATTCTCTGCATATTGTTTTGTTAAAGTAATTTTAATCATCTGCAGAGGCGCCTCACACATGGGCATTTTTTTTTCCTCTAAAGAACTCACTACTTAGAGCAAAGATAGTCAATAGAACCTGAGTATTTTGCTTTTTAATTATTTCGGAACTCGGGAGCAAGAAAAAGGTATGGAAGCTCTGATACATGTATTTCTTAAGGCAACCAGGAAAATAAGATATAAATCCTGAAATATCGAGCAGTTTTGGGATCAGGTGACAACTGCCAAATACAGTATAAAGCTCTAATGTACAAATCCATGACTGCAGCACAGACTTAATCAAGCAGCTGCAGCCAGAGAAAAGAATAACTACTTCTGAAAATTCACTCATCAAGTAAAATATTATTAGTCGAACAGAAAGTAATTCTGCAGAAAGATCTGCCTGAATTTCTATTTACAAGCAGTTACTTGAAAAAATGTACTACTTCGAAAGCTCATGATAAAAGCCCACAAACAGTTAAGATCAAGAGACTAAACACCAATATCAAGATCTTCTGATAATTAAACAACTGAATCAAATTTGCCTCTGAAGAGTGCAGAAACTTCCACTATACAGTGGAAGTTTAAAGCCCAATAAAGAGATTAAGGCCCATATACAAGTAATTGAGAGTCACTGGCCAAGAACTTATTATATAACAATAGATAGGTAGACAGACAGACATAAAGAGATAGATAAATCTTGCACTAAACATCAAGGGGGACTGATGACTAAACAGACTGTGAAATAACTGGAAGAAAAACAAGTAGCCATGGAAAAATTAATCCTTGATTGATTTCCGGAGAGAAAAGTAAAACAAAGAAATAACCTTGGGAAATAAAAAATAAAATAAAATAAAAAATAAAAAATCCCTTGATAATGGGAACACTGAAAAAATCTTGTGAAACATTACAATAATACTCCATTACAATAATACTTTTGCAACAGTGAGATTCATAACCATACATTCTTCTTCTACTCTACATATTTTAAAAAAAACTTAATTTCTTCACAGTATTTTAACAGGAAATATAATAAAAATGTAAATACTACTTAAAAAAGAAATTCACAGAAATCATCTTTTCCTGAAAAGTACAAAGATCATTCTTTTCTGTATCTGCACTCGATCACAGGTAAGTAGAATAATCTTCTATTAAATTTTGTACTATCTTGCAAAAGCGTGATTTAATAGCATGATTTAGAAAAAAACAGCATTAGATTATCTTTGTACATACTGCCTAACCTGGCTTTCCTGTTTCTGAAAACAAAGAATTGAATGGAAACAAATCACTTAATCTAGACAGTATCTCTAAAGTTTCTGTTTCAGGTCCTTTCTGGGCAGGTTTTCTTTAAGATCAAGATCATATGGTGTCAAGAATTAAACAGCTGAAAAATGAAATTAGTTACCTGAACATCTGAGTTTAGATTTTTAAATGGGTTGAATTTCCCCAAGACCTAACTGGTTAGACAGTGTCAGGGTAAAGAAATAATCCAGGCTTCAGTCCAGGTTTTGCTTTCTCATTTTCATAAAACAACAGACATGCATATTAAAGAAACCACTTAGTTACTACAGTTAAACAGACTAGTTTCTAATTAATTCAACATTCAAGAATCTGCTATGGATTTCTTGCAATAAAACTTCAAATGTTCCAGGCATATGCAGCTTTAGAGGACTGAGTGACTGAAATACAAATGTATACATATGTGTTCACTTGCTATCTAGCATCAAAAGAAATATCTTTGAGAAGGCAGTAAAATGAATGAGAGAGGAAAAAAAATATGATATGGCGGGTATCTTACGCAATTAGAAAAGTCAACATGCCGTTAACATGCAATCCCCATAAGTTGTGTAGCAGAAATAAACTATGCTAACTAAACATGAAGCTTCCCTTCATTGAAGTATTTCATTCCAGTAAGATAATGCATTTATAATCCTTTGTAAAATCTAAGACTGTTGCAAATTGTGGATAAATTAACTAATATTTTCCTTATAATTAATCTCTACATTAACAGCCTTAAACTACTGTAAATCATACCATTTCAATTATTGTGATAGATAATTTTGTTGCAGTGCATATAAAGCAATTCATTATTAATGTGCTTGTTCTGAAAAACCTCATCTCATCCACAGCTTCAAAACTTGCAGCTAACAGCTAAGGAACAAATCTTTGACTTGAAGGCTGATAGGCACCACACATGGAAAGAAGAGACACAAATGATGTCAAGATCTTCTTATGCAAGACAAATGCAATTAAGGAAATGTGGTGAGCAACAGTTTCAGAGTAAAAATCTTCAAGGACTCAGAACAACTTAAAATATACTTCCTGTTCAAAAAAAATAGAATTAAGGGATATAACTTTGTGCAGTTACGGACTGTTTTTTATTCAGTGTCAATTACCCTAAATACAATACGCACATTTGTAGCATCATTATTACAGATGTTGTATAATTTTTTCAAGGTTTTCAGTTATTTTGTGATTTAGTGACCCTGAGTTATGACAAATGTTATAGTTAAATGTATCCAATGATTTTTTTTCTTTCAGTAAATCTGTCACTGTATGCTTTTATCTTTCTATTACTCACCTTCCCCTTTAAGGCCTGCCTTGATACAGTGACTGCACATTTAGAATATCATGTTTTACTTGAATCACATGGAAATGAATACTTTCAGATATACTTACTTTCAAGTAAGTGTCTGCATTAAAAACAAATACTGTATGCATGCTTAGGAGCTCACTTATCAATTTTATACATTTTTGAATACAATAATCAGTATTCAAATCTGTTTGCAAAAAATTTGGTTTAATATTTTTTCAAATAGAATCCTAGTCTGCTAACTTAACTGACAGTGAAGTGCAAAAAGTCAATACATAAGATGTCAGAAGTACACTTGCTCTAAGTTGTGATATACAGAAATCCAATATCTTATCACATTTCTTTAAATTGGCCAATGTAACTATGATTTGGTCTCATACATAAACCACATTTTAATTTTGTTCTTCTTTTCAAATATTAAATATTTAAACACCAGTTTTGTGTTGTGTTTTTGTTTTTTAAACATCATATATTCCTAAACACTTCCCAAGCACACTAGGAAGGCAAAAGCTAAAAATTATAGATTTGTTTCTTTGAATAGCAGTTCATCTTAATTTTGTTCTTTTACCAAAACAGAATAAACAATGATATGTTAAAAGCACTTTGTGCAAAGTGGTACAATTACTTCCTCATGAAGAATGGTGCAAAACAGAAGGCAAGCTTTACCTATTAGATACTGAGTCATACTTTATCTTATCCGTGTTTCTACTAAATATACTTAAATTATCAAGAGAGCTATTAGACAATACCATAATAACGTTATAAATATGAATCAGTGAGTTATTAGCCTAATTCATATTATAAAAAAAAAAAAAGATGATACTTAAATATCAAGCAACCGCTTTGTAAGTTCCGTGATTCAGTGGCTGTAATAAATCATCAAGGAAACCCATTAAACTTCTCCTCTGCAGACAACTTACAAAGACACGAAAAATAAAACAAAAGAAAAGCATCATTGCATAAACGCTTTCTAAAACAAACAATTGTGGTCACATCTGAAAACAAATATAACCTTTTAAATTGCTTTATGAATGTGTTAGAGATAAGTTTTTACATTTCATATCAAGCTTTAGAAACTCTCCTATATCAAAATGTGTCTTCCATTCCAAGCAAATATTTTCAGCATTTGATTACCTCCTTAAGACTGAGCAGTATATGGTTGTAAGTAGGTAGACTCTGGTTTCCCAGAGCTTTAGTTTAAAGTGCCCACTGTAAATTGCTCTGCCAAATTCTCAGTGACAAAACATATGCCTCGCATCAAATCTATCTGCACCTTGTATTAAATATTTAAAAAAACACTACATTTTACTACTATTCTTCTCAAAATTCAGTTCATTTGAATAAAAGGATATTCAAAATTCACTATTCTCTAGTCAATGATACAGCATCTTTATGGTCATTTATCACTGAATCATGGAATGGCTTGGGTTGGTAGGGACCTCAAGGATCATCAGCTCCCAACCCCTCTGCCACAGGCAGGGCTGCCAATTGCTTAGGTAAGTACTAGATCAGACTACCCAGGGCCTCATCCAACCTGGCTTTACACACCTTCATGGATGTGGCATCCACAACTCTCAGGGTAACTTGTTCCAGCACCTCACTACCCTCATTTGAAAAACCGACCTCAACCCTCTGACATCTATTCTACATCTCCCCTCCTTTAGTTTAAAATAATTTCCCCTTGTCCTATGACTACCCTTGTAAAAAGTTGATTCTCTTCATGTTTATGAACTTCCTTGAAACAGCAGAAGGCCACGTGTTCTCCCTCAGTATTATGATACACTACACTTATTTGAGTGAATTGCTTTAACTTTTTGCTGTCCAACTAGTCTTTTAAATAGTAACTGTTCCACTAATTTCATAACAGGCAAAAAACTGCACAAGTATCTTATTCAATAAAAATAATACACATAAAAATGAATATAATAAACCTAGGTAAAAAAAAAAAAAAAAAAAAAAAAAAGGTGTTGCAAAAGGATTTCAAGATTGTCCACCTATTTTGTGGACAAAACCAGAAAATGAAAACTTTTTATATAGTGCATATTCATATTGGAAACATCTATGTATGAAATCTGACGGTAGTGATTAAAAATAGTCTTCACATTTCTATAAATTACAAGGCAACTACTCACACATGCAGAAGTACTGTGTCAGTATGGTTTTTAAAAAGCCAATAAATATGGATATTCTAACTTTAATCAATTTTTTAGCACAAAATTGAAGTCAATAATGTAAACTTCAGCCAACTGAACTACTATGATTTACGCAAATGAAACCTGCCTTTTCAGGAATAGTTTCAAACCATTTTACAGATAATTATTTAAAGATTCTGCATCCATGTGAACAACAGGTTAAGAGAAGACATAGATAATGAATAATCCTGCAGCCATTCCATGCTGCAAATAAGCATCTTAAACTGAGATTAAAAAAACTGAATCTCCATTTGTCAAATAGTAACAGCTAGTTGAACAATTTAATACTTTTTATTCCAGATTTAGAAATATTCATCTTTGTTCACAAAACGAGTATTTTACAAAACTCATTGAACCGTGGCTGAAAGACTGTGCTGGCAAATTAGCAGCCAATAAGCATTTAACTGCAGTTCAGAAACCACTTAATTATAAGTAGCTTTCTGTTCCATGTCTTCAACTCAAACACATTTTCCAAATTGCAAATGGTATACAAGCAAGGGGGTTCAGGTCTGAATACCTCACAAACCTCCACACGACAAGCAAAGCAATTTACATTTTGGGCATGGGAGAGGAAGAGTGCAGCATTGCAATGTTTGAAATAAGAGAAATAATTGCTTATCCTCCTCTAATGTCTGCTCAGTTAGCAGCCAAAAGTGAGACATCTATGTAACTTTTAGAACATAACATTTCTGAAAAAATGGATTGTTCATGAATCATGTAATTAGCTCTGTCTCTGGAAACATAAGACAGAAAACCTGGAAGGCCCCATCAACATTACTCCTCAAATCTGCAGTTTCAGCAGTTGAGTATTTTCATTTAACTTACTGACCAAATTGCACACTCAAAAAAAAAAATATCTAACCTCCTCCCTAACCTCCCCTTTCTTCGTGAAAGACAAGCCAAAAACAAAATGTAGTAAAGACAAAATATTTGCTGAGTGAGAGACAGATGATAGAAAAAAATAATAATAATGGTTTTCTGAGAAACATTTGATTGTAACAACACTGGCAAAATATGTCCTTCTTATAAAAAATGCTATCGACTTAAAATAACATTAATTTGCTTCTAAAACTAATTAGAAGGATAGTTTATAACAGAATTTTTTAGGGTTTGACACATAGTACGTTTAGTTTAGGTCAGTTTGAATTATTACTAAAATCTTACTATTATGTAATAAACAAGACATACCATTCAATTTCTACTGTGTTTTTAATTTTCAGCCTAAATATATGGTTCTGGAAAGCACTTCTTCATCTCCCTTATATTCTCACTTCTGGTACTGACTTACACAATAAGCCTGATGAAGAAAATTAGCTCACTACCCTTGTTGCAGTAAGGCATGCTATATGCTTCCAGGATTTGTTCCCATAACCAAACAGCTTTCTTGCACTGCTGATTTCTTGCCAACTGTTATGAGAGCAGTACCAAAGAAAGCTGTTTTCCTGTTGCAGAGAGTTAAAAACTGTTGCCACCAATTATCATGTTTCTGTTAACAGATGTTAGGATATCCTGCTTCTGTTTCAGCCTGGTCCAGGGAAGGAACTAGGAGGCCAACCGAGCTGTAGAGTACTTTCACAACAGTTATTGATGTCCTAGAAGTAATCCAATTCAAAAGAATCCTACCCCTAGGAGAAATAACTGTGTGCATCAAAATATGTTAGGGCTGATCAGGTGGAAAGGAGTTCTGCAGAGAAGATCATGAGCTGGCAGCATACCCTTGTGGCCAAGAAGGCCAATGGTATCCTGGTGTGTATTAAAGAGTGGCCAGAAGACTGAGGGAAGTTATCCCACCCCCGTTACGCTGCCCTGGTGAATTCATATCTAGAGAACTGTGTCCAGTTCAGGGCTCTTCAGTTCAAGACAGACAGAGAACTCCTGGAGAGAGTCCACAAAGACAGTTAGGGGCCTGGAATAGCTCCCTTAAGAGGAAAGGCTGAAAAACCTGGAACTGCTCAGCCTGGAGAAGAGAAGATTGAGTGGGGATCATATCAATACTTACAAATATCTAAAGAATGAGCATCAAGAGGATATGGCCAACCTCTTTTCAGTGGGGCCCAGTAAAAGGACAAGGGTTAGCGAGCACAAACTAGAAAACAGGTAATTCCATATGAACATAAGAACGAAATTTACCTAGAGGGTGATAGAGCACTAGAAGAAGCTGCTCAGGGAGGTTGTGGAGTCTCCTCTGGAGATATTCAAAACCCACCTGGACACTTTCCCATGCAACCCACTGAAGCAAACCTGCTTTAGCAAGGGAGTTGGACTTAATGATCTCCAGAGGTCCTTTTCAAACCCTATTATTCTGTGAACCTGTAAAATTACATCAACTTTTACAGTACAAGATACGCTATAGTTACGATATAAAATAAGCTATCTCAGCAGAAGACATCTGTATTTGGGATATATCCTAATTCTAAAGCTACATTTTGCCTGCATTTATCACTGATTCTGACTTTCACTATAAGTGATTCCTTGAATGAAATGAAAACATACAATTTAGAATAAACCCTACAGTTAAAAATACTAATTATATTTGTCCTGAAAGGGGAGACCTTTTCCATAAAAATCTATCTGAATCATAAAGGACCTAAGTAGAACACTTTTTTATCTGAATTTATTATGAGATCATTTTAATAAAAGTTCAGTAGATTCAATTAGAATTTGTTTTCTGGTTGCTAAGCTTCATTATTCTTCTTTCAACAGTTATAGCTTCACAAAGAGGTCAGGAAGCCAGATATAAAGTTTAAATCAGCAAAACTTGTGGTCAATAGTAGCTGCCACTGAATAGCTATTCTACACTTTAATTAGATTCCTGCACCTACTAAAGCACTACTCAAGAGGGGTTTTTTTCAGCTCTATTTCAGATAAGGAATATGATTATCAAACCCTTTTATGATCTGTATTAATGGAGGTAGCATTAATACATTTTTAAAATATGAATTACTCATAATCCAAACTTTAACCCATAAAACAGTTGATAATACTAATTTAATTAGTCTTAAGAAAGTCCTGTTGCTTTACTATCATTAAATTGCTGGTTTATCTTTCTGACCTGCTATAAAACATTGACAATTCACTCTGACAGGAGAAAATTAATTCCTTTGTGTTAGAAAAACAGATTACCTTGGTTATTTACATCTTAATCCACAGTGTAAACATGTTTGGCAGGTCAATAAGTGAATCAAGTCAATGTTTCCGAACTAATGTTTCTCTTAAATATTTTCTTTAAGCACATCTTCTTCAATAAAATCATGAAAACAAAGTGAAGAAGATGGAACTGTAATCCTTCAAAAGGTCAGGAAAAAAAAAAAAAAAAAAAAAAAAAAATAAACCTACCTGACTAGATTTTCATTGTCTCCAGTCCCTTTGCACGTAGCACATTCAGTTCTTAAGTCCTCTGATTTGGGCTTCTTTTGCAGAACAGACTGCCGCTGTCTTCTTTCTCTGGGAATCCGTTCCTGTCATAATAGTAGACATAAGAAAGGAATAGGGGGAAAGAAGGAGAAGAAAGCAAATATTTTCAATTACAGTATTGAAAGTAACATTTCAACCCAAAGTTGTTTTTTTTTTTTTTTTTTTTTTTTTTTTTGTGAAAGTGTTTAAAACAAACAAACAAACAAAAAAATCAAAACACTATATTCCAACCTCAGGTTTTTCTTCATCTGGCACAAAGCTTCGTTTTCGTCCTCTAGTTCTCTAGAAGAAAATATATTTAGATTTCAATATACAGTAACACAGAACATTTTGGCTATTTATTACTCAAAACATCAACAAAAATATGCTTCATGAAATCATTTAAACAATTAACTACAGAACTACTGAGGGCAAACTACAATATCAGATGTTAGATAAATGTACAGCACTGGCCAAAAAGAAAATATAAATAATTTTGTTGAGTTGTGCATGCAGAGTCTAATTCTGAAGAACACTATCTTCAGAATAGTCTCATGAAGACATTTCATGAACTATCCAACTACAAAATGCAGGAGTTTAAATTCAATATGAACACTTTACTACAGTAAATTAATACATTATGTCAGAGTACACAGAAAATCACCTTACTGTTTTCTGTGATCACAAGACTTCATATACAATAAGCTTTTTTTTTTTTTTTTTGTTACAGTGGAATATTCCATATCAGACTTTTTTTTTTTAATTAATATATATTAAAAATTGGTCCTTTAAAATCATGACACACCATTAAATTGACCTTTTGCAATCTAATTTATATTTCAGTACAGGATATGCTTTTGTACAATATTTTCAATATTAACTAGGACAATTAAATTCTCAAAAACATTTTATTAGCTTTAGTTTCCTATATGCTGAGGTACACAGTAGGAGAGATGAAAACAGTTATGTGGCAGATCATTTTTCAATGTAGTCAATTCTGTGATTCTATACTAAGGGACATCATTTAGTGGGGAAATATTGGTGGTAAATAGACTGTTGGACTAGATGATCTTGGAGATCTCTTCCAGCTCTGGTATTCTATGACTCTATAAATCTACAGCATTAAATACATGCCAACATATGGTACAAAATAGATCAGATGAGTAACACGACAGGCAGAAATAATTTCAGTATTGCATTTGGCCAAAAGAATTAAATGCCTACAGTGTTAAGGAAGTCATTCTAAAAAGTAACATACCCATAAACTGTATCAACAATCAAAGGTTTAAAAAGAACTGTAAGTAACTACACGCAACTCATAAGCAAATCTAGTTTCACTTTATCTCTGAAGCAGCAACACTGTAAACTGTTGTTAAGCTGGTAGTATTGCACTATCCCCTTATTTAAGGAGAAAATGAGAACAGATGCATTAGGATGCAGAAAACAGAGACAATTCTACTTAACAACGTCTCATACTTCAAAATTAGCTCTAAAAACAACTTCAAAATTATTATATTTCTTGGGGAAAACAGTCATCTATGAAGTTGTTTGCCATGTGGCAAAAAAATGCACACTGTCTAATTTTTCATTCCACTTATTTTTAACAGCTACTTTTGATGTGAACACAGAAAAAAAACTAGTGAACAAAATCTTAGAATGATCTTAAAAGAGTTAAGAAGCAGCTGGACAGTAAAACAAAATCCAACAAGCTAATAATATAATGCTTTTCCTGCTTAGCCTCCCTTGGAGGGGATTCTTCCTAGTTTCACAGTAAAATTGTTCAGTACTTTACATTATTATAGACATTTAAACATAACTGTAGTGTAAATAAAACTGCCATTTCAGCAAATGCATACATCTCTATACAGTAGACTGTATCTGCTTAAGTTAGTTACACGGTGTTTGCAAAGCTTTTTTCTGCTTTTGAAGAAGAATCAACTCTGTAGTAAAAGGAGCTTCAAGCAAATGTACAACTGATTTGTTTTGTGTCTCCTTAAAAGACTAATTACTGTTAAGATTTTCTTTCACATTTCCGTAAGGAGAATTATTGAAAAAATGTAGGACAGTAGGAGCTTTAAATGCCCTGTAAGAAATATTATTTTCCACAGAGACATGAAGATCCATAAACTGGAATGCTCTCATATTCTAAGCTTGCAGCCATATGTATTGCGTTTAATTCCATCAAGAAATTCCATCAGAAAAACTTAAGAACACAACAACAACGTGAGATTTTATTCCAAGTAATTTTTTTTAGGTATTTCAAAGTAACAGCTTGTTTACTCAGCACATAAATACACATAGGTAACTCTGTAAGTAATACCTCTTATTTCCATGGAAACTACAACTGATATAAAAAGTACAATAACACTATTTGATAGAGCAAATTCTCTGCTACAAAACACACTTTTTCAACATAGGCACTACCATTACCATAGCACTGAACATGCCACACTCATAAAATTACATCTGCACCTGCAGAGGTGATCCACTGTTGTCACCACTGCTGAAGCACACCACACAACTCCTCAGGGAGCTCACTACCACTGTATGCTCTCCATAAACATTCAGCAATCAGCAATGAATGTCAGTAAGTTTTTTCTACATGGAGAAATTCAGTTCCACATCTTTGCTTCACATGCACCTCCATGTCAGTCACCTCATCAGACTCTCACTGCTGCCATCTGTTACACAACAACAAAATGTAACAGAATACTAGTGGCAAGGTTCAACCTCTACTGTCATACCACCAACATCTCCCTCTGACATTGCCTTAATCTCGAAATGATGCATTTTTCACTAGATTTCACAGTCTTCCAGGTTGAATCAAGGGCAGAGCATAGAAAATAAGAATTTAAAGGAGAAAAGTATCAGTAAACAATCCTTACAATTGTCTCAAAGCAGATGCCTATCAGTCTAAACCTGAAAGAATCAATTCATTACAAGTATCTGAATTAACGTAGTATTAGAAATATTGATATATTGATATAACAGTGCATATAAAGACTATTATTGCAATAAAAATACTTTCTACCTTATATGCTAAAAATGGCATATGCATTATCTGCATACAAATACCTAGTCACTGTAAATTATAATTAAACTGAAAGTTTTCCTCTGTCCAAATTAAGCACTGGCCTTACTACCTCCATTCTCTGTCATGAGCAATATGAGCATTTATAATTCCAATAATTTCAAGCCATGTAGGCCCAATTGAATGCAGCTGTGTAAAAAATAAAAAGTAGGAATGAATAATGTACAGTGCATAAACAAATGTGTGAAAGATTCATAACTGGGGTGCATGTTAAGAAGGTATTAAAATAGACAAGAAATCAGTAGATAATGTGGATTCCAACTCAAAGAAGGAAGTATTGTACTGAAAACACTTCCTTACAAAATCAGTTAATAAATCTGTCCAAAATGAAACAAAAAACGTTTAAAGGAAATTTGCCAACAACAGGATCAGTTTGTCAACTAAAAAGGGAGAGAAACTTCTCTGAAGTCTTCAGTGAAAACTGATGTGGGAGTTTCTATTATCAAGTTGGAAAAGCTAGAATTTGGCTAACATTCACTTTCAAATAAGCTCCTTCATTTATAAGTAACTCAGTAACAGCTTGAAAACAATATGAAACATAAAGAACATTAAGAAATACATTGGACAACTTTGAAAATTCTCATTAAAAAAAAAAAAAAAGAATTTGATACATGAAACAAATGAAATACTTTTGTTAATGTCTAGGATTCTTACAGGATCCCACACCTGGGATCAGTTCCAGATACTGAAAGGAGATAATCTGTTTGCAAAGCAGTAAAGAAAACAAAGCAGTAAAGCACAGCAGCAAAGGAAATAGACTGCCATCACTTATAGACACAGCAAGCTGGTGTGTTAGTTTGCAAATGTGAAAGCAGAAAGTTGAATGTGACAGAACTGGTGCATACATGACCCCAGACCACTATGGCTGTCAGCAAACCACATCATTATCCCTCACTCCTTTGTCTGCAAGACGCATGCTTTAAACCTGCTCATCCAAAGACAGCAGCAGAAAGAAGAATGCTCTCTTTTGAGCAGTTTCGCACTCCCATAAGAAAAGGAAAATCAACAGGATTCAGAACTGTTCAAAAGGAAATGGCAATCCCTAAAAATCACAACTATGTGCTCTCCTGTTAAATGATAAGCGTTTACTGAAATGTAACAGGAGAAAAAAAACTTATACTGTCATCTTTTTCTATACAAAGGTCTCTCAGCATTATAAAGAAATTGAAAATGAATGAAACATTGGGATCATCTGTGGTCAGCAGATGTGGTGGCAACAGTTCAAGTATACATAACGTGAAAGCAAAATAGTATAGCTCTGGCTTTGATCAGCTCATTTTTTATTTTTTAGTAAATCAATGGCAATTTCTGAATGACAATTCCAGAAAGTTGTTTGAGAAGATGTATTTAATGTGCGAGAGCACATTGATGACATGTAAAAGCACTTAAGAAAGGTCTGCTTTCAGTTTCACCTTTGCTTACTACATTAATTGGTTAGAATTTCTCTTTAATATTTTCACATAAGCACTGTAAAGAGGCCCAGTACATCTGCTTATGCAATTTTATCTGTGCAAATTCTGAGGTTTCACTACATTTGCATTCACTGCTTCTGCTAGTAGACAGGATTGATGCTCTTTACTATGCTGGTGATTCTGTACCTCAGGACTGTCAAAGCAGTAACACTGCTGTATTCATAGGGCTCCCTTTTGTCACTGAGCTGCTAATATAACTGATAGTGATGGCACCACAAAATAATACTTTTCTGTATTATGGCAAGCACAGGAAATTCATTCAGTACTTCAAGTGCTCCTGGAGTTTTGAGACACGCTGTATCACATAATGGCACTATTAGGAAGGTATGCATTTCTGTCTGAGAATTTCATATAAGTAATTCAAAACTAGTCAGAGAGTTCACATTACAAAATAGATTACATTGCTAAATACCTGCCTCTTAACACTATTGGTACAATACCAATTTCTTTGCTGTCTAAAGTTTGGAGACATCCTGTGTGGAAATCATATATATAAAGATCCAAAGTCTACATAAAACAAATGTATCAAGGTATGAATAAAAGACTGCTAATAAACACAAAGTACCATTGATCACTGATGAATCTTCAATAATGCTATCAAATACACTGCACTACAGCAAGTAAAAAAGGAATGCTACGTTTTATAAACTGTAAGTAGGTTTTCTAAACAAAGAACTGGGAAAACTTCTAACACTTTCAGAGAAGAAAAGTAACTTAATGAAATATTAAGAGCACACATA